AAAAATACAAAATACTTCCCGAGGGGGGATATAGTCTTCGCTCTGCCCGGAGTGGAATTTTCCAGTGGCAATCCCAGGCACGAGGACCTTGCAGCAGAACTCCTCAGCGGCATGCGACGAAAAGGATGGCGGGGCTTTGTTGGAACCGCTTCGGTTTAGGGTTTAGGGTTTAGGGTTTAGGGTTTAGGGCTGGCAATGGGGGCTGGGGACATGCTGGGGAGCTGGCGGCAGTGGAAATTAACGCCGGGATCTTGCCACCCACCTCAGGTGATGCCAAGCTCTCCGAGGCCGAACAGGATCGCACGGTCCCTAAACCCTAAACCCTAAACCCTAAACCCTAAACCCTAAGCAGTTTCGGACTTTCGCGGCCTCGTCGCCGAGGGCGTGCGAGTCGCACGCGCCGAGGATAACGACATCAACAGGCAGCTCCTAAAGCATGGAAGAACCTAAACCCCTAACCCTAAACCCTAAACCCATCGTTTTCATGTAGTGCCTTTGCGGCGGCCCTATGCTGCAAGATTTCATCGATCAACCTCGAACACCGAAGCTTTGTCATAGGAGACTAGCTGGACAAATAATGCGCAGAAACATGAACAGCATGTGGATAGAGATAGACCAGCTGAAATGTGCGTTCCAGTCTCTGGCTCAGTTTCACCCAGCGAAACTTGCGAGCAGGTCTCGTCCTGCGCAAGTGGGACACGTGGGGGTTTACGAAAATAAAGGGCCCGGGTATAGACCCCCAACTAGTAATAAGGACCCCAGTAAGGTACCCCTATTTTCGGAAACCCCCATGCCATGGCCATTCTAGAAAACCCTCGCGTCCTCTGGCTCAGGGTCCGAAATCTCCCATGGGGCCTGCCAGGGGAAGACTTTGTTGGCAGACGATGCCGGGAAGTTGCACGATATTTCCAACAATGGCTGCAGTTAGTAAATCCTACGGCTTGGCCATGCCTAACCTGTCTGGCCAAGCGAAGTCTCGACATTCTTACAGCAGTCACATCCACCAAGCCTCGAAGGTCTCTGGTTCGACAGTGACATGAAAAGCCATTGTGTCAGGATGGGGAGGCTGCTCCACCAGTGGACTGCCAAACCGAACCAACACGACTAAACAGCTTTAACAAGCGCATTGCGATGCTTTGTGTCAGGATGGAAGACGTAGCATCTTCGTTCTTCATAAAATCATAGAACTGTTCGGTGTGGCAGGCAGCCTCCTGTGTAGGAACCAAGGGGTGTTGAAGATGTCCTTCAAAACCCCTCGGGGAAAACACTAAATCGAACCAGAGAGCTGCGAGCGACTAAAATCGACCGATGATGGTGTTGCTGTTGCTGTTGCTGTTGCTGTTGCTGCTGCTGCTGCTGCTGCTGCTGCTGCTGCTGCTGCTGCTGCTGCTGCTGCTGTTCCTGCCGCTGCTGCTGCCGGTGCTGGTGTGGTGTCGTCGTTGTTGCGGTGGTGGTTGTGGTGTGGTTGTTGTGGTTGTTGTGGTTGTTGTGGTTGTTGTGGTTGTTGTGGTTGTTGTGGTTGTTGTGGTTGTTGTGGTTGTTGTGGTTGGTGTGGTTGTTGTGGTTGTTGTGGTTGTTGTGGTTGTTGTGGTTGTTGTGGTTGTTGTGGTTGTTGTGGTTGTTGTGGTTGTTGTGGTTGTTGTGGTTGTTGTGGTTGTTGTGGTTGTTGTGGTTGTTGTTGTGGTTGTTGTGGTTGTTGTGGTGGTAATTGTGGTTGTTGTGGTCAAAACGCTCTGCTGCCGTATGCTTGCAACAACAAGGCTTAGCTGGAGCCTCCTGCTGGCATTTTCCCGAACCACCAGACATGTTCTGGAAGAGAGGCGGTGCTGTGTCCGAACATGGGCTGCAATCAAGAATGTGGGATACCTCTTGGTTCGATATCGATCCACATGATGCAGCCCAAATGCGGCATTCAACGCACAGTGAGAACATGGGAAACGAGCGGATTCGTTCCATTTCCACCTTGGCCTCAAGCCCTACACAAAGGCAGACAACTCATGTACGTCTCACGGCAACTGCTACGCACGAGGACGAACAGCTCGAGCTGTGAAGCCTGCAAGGTCAGCGCACGTCCCCACCGTCCCCACCATGCGGAATCATTCAAAAACGCATCTGCGTAAGCTGTGGTCCCCGACCGTGGAAGTAGCCAAGGCGGTGTTTCCCTTCCTCAAGGTGCAAAGCAAGGAGCAAAAAGGCTGTGCATTCTGTGCTTGCGCATGGTCCTCCACATCAAGGGTGATGTCGGTTTTGACATCGGCTTCCTGCTTTGGCCGATCTTTTTTGGTCTCCCTGAAGTGTGCAGGCACGAATGCTTCTCCCTCAGCCATTGTACTGGAGCTCTTTGTAAACTCTCTGCAACCTACTGGGATCTGGGCTTGCGTTGGACTCCATAGTCGCGAATGAAATCGTAGGTATCGCCCGCACTTCTTGCAGCTGATGAGGCTCCTTGCAAGCGCAAGGAGCTGCAGATCAAGCGTGCCGAAAGCTTGCTAGCATCACTCCTTTCAATGCTCTCACTAGCACAAGGCAGGCAAGGATTCATTGTCCACCGAAGAACGAAAACGACCATTCCATCTGGGCTGCCGCTCATCAATGCTGTAAAGGTGTTATGCCGGGGGGGGCAGAGTTGAGGGCTTGGTGGGGATGCACCTGCTTCGTTAACTAGCAACAAGCAAGTAGGTCTGGGCAACAGGTTTTCTGGTCAACCTGGCAGCGAAGTGCATCGCAAAGTGCGGACCCATGCAGCGATGGAATCCGACAACGTCGCGGGAACGAGGGCCAGGATCCCGCGCTACCCCCCAATCTCACGGAGACTTCCCGGCGAAGCTGGGCTGTCGCCTTGTTCCAGCGTTTGTAACGTTGTAACATCACTTCCGCCTGGCCCCCGCTCTCACAGCCCCGCCACGCCACCAAGCCAAAAGCGTGTAGTCCCAACCCTACGACGCGCCTACACTCCATGCTTGGCCCAGGCCGCTCCAGGCGGTGACCGGACCAAGAAAAGGTTCTGAAATGGTTGGCTCGGTTCTTCAATCCCCCTCCTGGCGTATTTGCCTTTTTGGGGGCTTTGACCTGCTACGCATTGCATGATATTATGATATTGCATAGGAGCTTGCCCAACGCGAACGTCGTGGAATATGAGATAATATGAGTTCACCGAGTAGCTGGGGACTTTTCGAAGCTGACGCTACATGGCCACATCTCGCCTGCTTCTCGTAGAAGCTTCTCCGACAATCTTGCAAGACGAGCTCCTTCTTCCTGCGTGGCGGCGCTGTACGCTATACCAATATAGTGTGCCAAACGAGACAGCAAAGTTAGCTACAGGATCACCTTTCTGAGTGACAAAAAGGCCCTGCAAATATCCGGCCTTGTTTTCATGAACCTTGGACTGGGCGACAAGCAGCAGGTTTTCACCCTCAATCTGCTTGTTTCCAATCTCCTCACAATGCTTCGAGTATCGACACACGAACTATGGTTGTATCCTATCTCGTCCTTGCCAATGTCAACGGCAAGTTTGGCCCGCGCGCGAGCCTTTGCCGGAAAACAATGCATCCTGCCGTGCCCTTGGGCCCTACTCAAGGAGTATCTGGGCACAACTTGCACAGTGCGCAAAAAAGAGCAGAAGGCCTCAGCAGCATTTCCGTAATTCAAAAAGGCAGATGCCAAGCTCTTCAGCGTCTGCGCTTCTCCCACTCGATCGCCAACCTGGCACTGCAGCCAACAATGCCACAAATAATTTCATAGTACTGGCCAAAATCGGCTTAATGTCCGCACTGTAGGCGCCCGTTAGGTGCCGCACGCTCTGCAGGATTCCCAAGGCTTCTTTGCCTGCTAATCGAGCTTTCCAGTTGATCTGCTGCTCCTCCAAAGAAAGCAAAGACAGACCATGGTGCGAGCGATACCCAGCGCGCTAATCAGGACATGGTGTGCTCAGGGTTCCAACCTGTTGATCGCTACGTGCTGCCGGCAGCTGGGCCACGTATGCGCTGGCAATGACGCTGAGAGTCGTCCCCAGCTGGGACCTCTGCATTCATTTGAACCAAGGCATTGCTCGCAAGATCGCTGCCGCTGCCTGAAGTTGCTCTCACGGCAGATGGTGACGGCTTCCTCCGCAATCCTTAGGGCCTCCTCCTGCAATGGTGCTGCTGAGCTGAACACTGACAACTGACGGCTGTCGATGAAACCGTGCCAGGCAGTCGCAAGCACCGTTGTCCACATGTGCCGCTGCAATTTGGCACAAAGTAGCTGCCTACGCACTGGATCATACTGCTCCAACTGCCGCGAACGTTCGCGCACAGCTTCGCGCGTGCCAGCAGCTGGCAGTTTCTGGCAGCTTCCTGGCCTCACCTCTCTTGTGGCCCACTTCACGGAAGCATTCGAGAGCTTCCTTCGTGTACTGCCAACCTCACAAGCCGGCCCCCCCACCGAGCAGCCATGTTTTCATCAATCTTCGTGGAAACCCTTCCGTGCTAATTGAACTTAGGTCCCAGCCATCAATGTTGTCGGCACCTTGCGGCCACTCTGTTTTCATTCCAGCTGTACGCCAATTTTTTAGAACCCCAGTGTGTCCCTCCCACCTGCGAAGCAAATCTCAGCGAGCTGCTTCAAGGTGATGCCCTTGACATCGGCCGACAAAAAAACAGCAACAAACAGCTTATCCTGCATGGTTTTTTTACCCTATAACCCCTTAACAAGGCCCTTTATGGTTGGTTAGGGGGATTATAAGGCCTAATACTAATAGCCCATGCTGGATGCACTAGATGCGATGTCTTGGCGCAGCAGGATGAAACAAAGTCAAGGCGCCATGCATCTTGTCGTTAGAAGATGTGGCTCTCATACCATACTGGCTACTGTCGTATACGTTGTCTTGCACATGGAAACTTTTTTCCAACAGAGAGGGGCGCAGCACAACAAGTGACAGATGTCAAAAGAGACATCAACAATCCCTGCACAAACGTCAGCCCTCTAATAAAAAGTTCCAACCTACCTTTGCAACACGCAGCCATGTCATTCCTTCAAGAAAACTCCTGGATGGATTCAGAACTTGTGCCCATGACAACTGGGTTTCAGCGTTCTCTTTTCTTTTCAGGGGTTTAGGAGTTTAGGACATGCCAAGCCCATCGGGTCTGCCCAGCCACTCCTTTTGCCGCTCCTTTCACAGTACGGGTAGGGTTTTGGATTTTGATCTACGTGTAAGTCTTAAAGGTTGCAGAGGGCCTGTCTATTTTATTTTGATTTTTGGGGCTTGCCAACTTTGTGGCTCCTTTAGCTTGAGGAGGGTCCGCTCTGGTCCCTGGCCACGCCCTTTTGTTTGAGTCTCTGATGCAATCCTATGTCTCTGTTGGCAAACACGACTGACTTGACGGAAAAGGCAGGCAAACGCTGCAGTGCTACCTGATGTCATGGATTAGGGGATCGGATTAGGGAGATCTTTGGGGACATAGACCCTCTGAATAAGGTCCCTGTTTAAGAGAGCCAGAAGAGGGTTAAGAAGGGGTCCCGTTTAGGAGTCCCCCTTATCCTACCTAGGAAGGATGGGGCAAACTGACCAGCTACCGTCATCCGACATATCGTCGCCTGCATCTGCCGGTCGTCAGTCTTTTCAAAGATAGCAACAGCTTTCTGAGCCTCAAAAGCAGATCTCAAAATTAAACACGACGAGTGAGACATTGCGATTTCATCTGACATTCACAACAAGTCGAGAATCACAGCATTGAAAGAAGCATGACTCAGCATAATTCTGGTCCAGGGGGTCTGAGCTGATTGCCACTTCCTGAGCCTCCTGAGCGTCTCCCAGAGCCTCCGCTGGAGTGGCGAATCAACGAATTTGCAAACGCTTCTTCTACGACATGCAACCGCCTTGCCTGCTTGGTTTTCGCAACCAAGAGCAGCGACCTGGACTCAGCATCAGATCCGCTCCCCTGGAATAGCGCCAGCACCTCAGGGAGCTACTTGAAAGATCTTAAAGCCGTAAAAGGCCACGAAGAGAAGTCGTGGGTCGGAGGCTTATGAGGCTTGAAGCGGCTGCAAGGGGTCGCGTTGCGAGACATTTCTCTGGGTTCTTCCCATTCCGACTCCCAAGAATTCTCCAATAATGAGAATAAACCTGAACTTATAAACGCCGCTGGGTTCCCAAGTGGCCACTGGAAAATGTCCGAGAGAAGTTTGAATTTCGGAGTACTACCGCTGCAGTCTTTTGTTTGCGCTTTTGCTGGCATTTGCTTTGCATCTGATGCCATCCCGTGGCTTAAGCTTGAAAAAGCATGCTGCACCTCGGAATCTTCGGGACAGTGACCCGTCTCCTGCCTCGTTCGCAGCACGGAGCGCCTCGTTGCCCTTTTTTGCCGCTAGGCATGCTCGCGCCACAACCTCCAAGGCCATGGCCTCTCAACGACTCGCAGAAAGCGCGCTGCGGCGGGTGAAAAAACGGGGGCGCGCAAAGCTGCCTCGCCACTTCTCTCTTCACACTCCCTGAACAAAGCCACAGCTTGTCTGGCAACCTTCAGCAATGCATCTTTGGTACAAGGTTTAGGGTTTAGGGCTCAAGTTGCTGCAAGGCTGGTTGCTGCACTGTCAAAGCTCCGCCTTGCCAGCCTCTTGCTTCTTGTCTCTTGCAAGGCAAACCTGCGATGGTGGCCAGTCCAGACATGTCCGGACCCCTCTGAATTTTGCCCACTTGTCCCACTTCATTCCTTCATTTCACTCGCCTGCGCACGTGTTGTCAGAGCCGCCGCCTGAACCGACTTGCCCTTCGACTGCGCCTTACAGTCTTTTGCAGTCAACCGCGGCGGTTCTTGTAGTGCACAGCTGAGTCGCACACGAGCGACACAGCAGCTTCCGCTGCTTGGAAAGCATCATCATGTCGGAAACGGGCAAGGAGTGTCTTGCAGCATAGGCACATAGGCATTTCCAACTCAAGCAAATGATTCAGTACATTTCAGATCTTTAAATGTTCTGCTCTTGACGCAGATAACCATGCTGATGGAGGTGCCTTGGCAGCGATGCACTGAGCCATGACATCCGAGGAGTCCTTTGCCTCACATTCTTGCGATGTTTCTTCGACCGAGGTAACAACAACTTTAGGCGAGTCATTGAGGTGTCATTGAGGAGTCCACTCCGCGGGCTGCTTCTAGTCCCTGGTCGGCTGCCTGAAAGACTCGCAGCAAGCATCAATCGGCATCAACAAGGACCTCGAGAGTCCACAATAACATGTGCAACCCTAAACCCTAAACCCTAAACCCTGAACCCTAAACCCTAAACAGAGCAGAAGATGCCTCCTCAGCTTTCAGATATTCTCGAGCCAGCAGTTGGGCTCGAGCAATGGCGTTGTGGGCCAATGCCCTTCCTCGTGCATCTCGAGCCTGTTGCAATGCCTGCGAAACGACTCGATGTCCATTGTTCTTGGCAGTCTGTTGCATTCCAAACTCCTTGTCAACTTGCGCTTCAAGAAGTTCGCATCAATGCGCCTTGCTTGCAATGTCAAGTGCCTTGTCCACCTCCTGCACTCAACTCGATCAGAACTGATTGAGCAGACTCTTAGCAGCTTAGCATCTGAGAGGCTGCATCTTCCGTCGTTGCAGACATGGGTTATGAACATAGAGGACCCCCTAATATAGTCCCCAAAGTAAACGGATTCGCTTATATTCCGGACCCCAATAAGGTAACCCTGATTTCGGAAACCCCCACATCACTGAGCAGCAACTGCCTCATGGCCCAAGTGTTGCCAAAACTCTGGTGCCCAGCTTGCAGAGTTGAGGCCCTCATCCTCAGAACGCGCCACGCTTGGCAACAACACAAAAGCCTCGTCCAAAATTGCTAAGATGTTGGGGGGTTTACGATTTATGGGGGCCCTTATTCTAAGGGAATACTACTATTTGGGGGTCTACTATTAGGGTCCCCTTATTTTCGTAAACTCTCATGTGCTAACATGCTGAAGTACATACAGCACAGCTGTGCTTGGCACTGCTTTCGTCCTCTAAGTGCCCAACAAAGTCCATGATTGTCATGGCAGCAAGGAGGGATGCCTTCCATCCCGTTCTTGCCGCAGCTTGAGCCAAGGTTCCGTTGACACGTCTGTTCACATACGCATAATGCTGGCCAAACAAGGATCCTAAATAGACCGCGTCCGTGGCAGTGACCAGTTCCAAGCGAAGACATCCGTGCAGCACTGGGCAGGTTGCAAAAGTCAAGTGGGCATTTTTGACCCTGTGCGCGTTTGGCAACAAAGGAAAGTGTTTGTCAGACCAGGCTCAGAAGGGCTAACCTTCGCTCCCGGCAAAAGAAAGCGCAGTGCGCGGCAACACATGTGGGGGTTTACGAACATAGGGGGACCCTAGAAGAGAACCCCCAAATAGGATCCCCTTGTACTAAGGACCCCAATAAGGTACCCCCCCAAGTTCGGAAACCTCCATGTCAGCTTGTTCACCTTATGAAACTTACCAGCCCGGCCTTGAGCTCTCCAGGCTCTCGTCTTCACTTGTGCAGTGTCCTGGCTCATGCTTTCACGTGTCGCTCAACGTTTGAAGTCAAAAAAACACGCAGAAGTCACGACTTGATCAGTGAGTGAGTCACCGATCCAGAGCGGTTGAAGGCCGTTTGCAAGCCGCAGCGGTGAAGTTGGGTGAGTTTGGTGAGTTGGCTCCCCAACTTAGAGCCGGGGGCTTCGGAGAAGAAAGATAGCCTTTGGCTGTAGCATCCTTGACGTTTATGTTGCTTCACTGATAGTCCAAGCACTAGAAAGCATTTCGAGTGGTTGTTCAATTCAAGGGACAGTAGCTGCTCGTAGCAAGCGGTATCGCTTTGCCCACGATCGCGAGCATTCCTTATTGGCTTTGCGCTTGAACACCTTCCACAACTGCAGTACAGTCACATGCCTGTGGTCAAAAATGGCTGAGGAATTTTGTTGGACCTTCACGTATTTTCGCGTTTTGGACTTTTTTGGTCTAGGGCTTACTATTGCGCGCAAAGGAATTAAAGGTCATCCTTCGAAACTCCGGAGGAAATAAAGGCTTTTCCCAGTAAGCTACAGAGAAAAACATATGTCTTCCTATCGAGGAATAGAGGTGCCCTATGGTGCCCTTATCCAAATATGGAGGAAATAGAAGTTTTCCTATTCAAGCACAGAGGCAATACAGATTTTCTGCGGTAGGGCCAACAACTGCTGCCCTGTCAAGACACGTGTTGTGTGCGCACTCATATCCCTCCGGCAAAAGCAAGGCAGGAAAAGAGTCTGACTAAAAACTTGGCGACCCAGGCAGCTCCACAACTGAGCACTGCTCAGAATCTACGGATCGCTCTCTTTCTCGTGTTTTTTGGCACGCATGCAACAAACGACCAGATAACACCAAAGTGCGGTTGGATTGGGGAGCAAGCAAAACCATGCACGCGCGATACTTCTGACAAGGCCATGTGCTAATCGCACCGTCAAGTCTAGGAAGTCTAGGAGTCTAGGACTGTCACAACCGTTCAGCCCAACTTACTGAAAACACTGCAGAAGCAAAAATTTCCAGCAAACAGCTCAAAAAAAACGCGCAACTGTTTTAGAACCGCTTGGACATGCCGCAGAATTTGGCTACAATATTTGACAATGGCTGAAGCCACTTGAGGAACACTGAAAGCTACTTGATTTACAACAGAAAGACTGCCCAAGAATACTCCAGTGTGTTCTCCCGGAAACTTGTACATGTGACCATGTCAGCAAGTGGTGGTATACCAGCTAAACCCTAAACCCTAAACCCGAAACCCTAAACCCCAAAACCCTACACTCTGAATCCTAAATTTAAAACCCTAAACCCTAAACCCTAAATGTCCTGGACTTCTGGCAGTGGCATCCGGCTCCTTGGCCGTGCCGGGCTCTACATACCTCCGGAGATTGTGCTCAACGGCTGTGCCAAAGTTTGCCCAATATATACACTCACCAATATGAAAACGGAACCTTGTACACACAAATCAATAGCAGCAATATACACCCTGATTATGCAGATCGCACGAAAGGTCCTGCCTGTAGATTGGGTCGCATGATACTGCGAAATATGCCCGGGACCACACCTGAACTGCTCAAAGTGGAAGGCATTTGCAATTCTCAGGAATTTGCCTAAAATCAATGAGCAGCGGCGCCTCCATAACTATTCTTGGCCCCTTGCACATGTTCACAACCTTTTCCTACCCAAGCAATGTGGCTGAATGGCAGGACCTGGAGGGCCCACTCGTTGTTCAGATTTGTTCAGTATGCTTCGGCTGATCGTTGGTGTTGGTGTGGGCCATCGTCGGTGGATCGTGCCGTCGTTTGATTGGTCCCAAGGGATTCGGGGTTAAACAATGCCCATCATCATTCGCAAGGCTGTCGAACAGTAAGGCTCCGGCGACGGTCACTGGCCAGATGCAGCAGCAGACCAGCAAAAGCAGGCCACGCAGCAGCTTCTCGACAAGCCATCGCCATCCCGTGAGAGCTTGCCACGCCGAGGCAGTCGACAGTGCAGGCTCCAAAAGACGCCTGCGGCACAGCGGGGTTCAAGCCCAGCTTCACGAACCAAGTCAGACGTCCGACCTCTGTATCTCACCAGGAAAATCTAAGGTCCGAAAGTAGTCCCCCATCTTGGAAAGCGCTGGCTCCACGGATGCTTTGGCACCTACCAGTCGAATTTGACACGGTTCGCCCGTCTGCACGTTTTTGACGTAGCTAATATTGATACGGTTATTGTTATTATTATGATTCTTGTTATTCTTATTCTTATTCTGAATTTTTTTCTTATTATTATTACTCTTAATAAGTCTCAATATGAATATGATTATTACTCTTATTCATATTATTCTCAATATTAGTCTATCATGGCCCCACCTCCGGCCACGATGGAAGTGAGGCGTTCTCGAGCTTCTTCACTTGTATCGAAGTTTACAAGATACGAATTCTCGTTGTCCTGGCAAAACTCCAAGCAATTCATTCGCTGCCGTGCTCAACTCACAAACGCTGCATGCTTGCAGTACATGCCTTCACAAACTCGAGATGCCCTCCAACAGGCTGGATTGCCACTGGAATGCCTGCGCTCCATGCCTGCTTGCAAAGCTGCTTGGAGTGAAGGTTTTGAGCACAAGGGTCCAACATATTTCCTGTCAAAAACACTTCCGCTCACATTGAGTACTGCTCGGTCCAGAACTACGTCCTTCAAGTCATTACAATGCTGGCAACGCTTGCTGTTGAAAAGGAACGGAAGGTATGCAGCCGGGCCCATACCAAAACTATCCTCCGAGACTGCATGCCAAAGGCATGTGGGGCGAAAGAACGACCCACCTCATTTATCCCGTCCCTGGCAGCCACCGCTGGCAAGGGCCCATTTGAAATCCCTTTTTTGGTCTGTTGCTGTGGTAGGGGTCGGCTCAGACCATGGTCCCTGCCTCCGCCCGTCGTTTTGCGGGATCCCTTCGGTTTCGGGCCAGCTCCCGCAGATTTTTCTTTTTTCTTTGGGGGGGAATGAACCCCTGTGGATCGTATGCGCACATATGACATGACGACTATATGTGCTAACATTCTCGGATCCCCCGCCCACCCCACCTCCGCGTGGTCATGGTGGGTTTGGGGTTTGGACTCCCGCACTCGCTGAAGCACGCAAGGATTGGGGTTTAGTGTTTAGGGTGTTTTCCCCCCTCCCCCCCGCCCCGTAAGTTTTGGGTTTAGGGTGGGGCTGTAGGGGTGTCATGGTGGGTTTAGAGTTTAGATGGTTCTTTCCGGTAATTGGTGGCGAAACTTCCCGGTGTTTTTCAGTCGCACTTGCGCACCGTGCTCGCCCTTTTTGAGTCGGCCTTTCTTGACCGTCATGGGGCCGGCTCTCGATGTCTGTATAATCTCACATCAAGTGAAGCGAGGGCTGCGAGTAAGGGCTCCCAACCCCTCGCCGCCTCGCCTCTCCAATACTGGAAATACCCACCAGTGCAAGCACTCGCAAAAATACTTGGAAACCCCACTATCTGCTACATACTGGGAGTGGAACCCATCACCATCAGCTCTAGCTCTCACAGGAACTCGCCTAAAGGATGCCAAGGGGCAGTTCCAGACCAGAGCGGGCAGGTGGCAGTAAAGACCGGCCGATGACAAGGACATTCAAGTTAAGCAGAGGGAGCCAGCAATGGAACCACCCGGACCAACGACAAGCAGCAAATTCGCTGTTTCATTGAGCAAACCAAAGGCCAACACTTAATTCTCAAGTTGTTTGCTTGCTGAGAGCATCTTGACGATCGATAAGAGCTATTCAATCCGTGGAACTTAAAATCTATGACTGGGGGGGGGGGGTAAATGCTTTCAAAGAAGTCGTGTTACTCGCAAGTCCCGCAACTTCATGTGCATTTCTCGTGCAGGCCTCCACAACAGTGTTTCCGAGCGTCTCACAAGTGCTTGCCGAAACGAACAAATCACTGGCAGCATACGCTGTTCGAAGATCTTCTGCCCCCAGCATACCTTCCGACAGGAAAAGGGTGCAAAACACACGCTCCGCAAACTAAAGCCCGAGCCTCGTTTAGGCAAGACGTTGCGTCGCCCACTCGCCTCAGCCCGGCAGACTTCACAGCATCGCTACATTTCCACATGCTTTCTCCTGTGCCATGCCGAGCTGCTTCGATCTGATCAGCATAGTCTGCATCGCTGTCGCCCACAATAATCAAGCCACAGTCTTCTGGGACTGCATCATGCAGTAAGTGAATACGCTTTTCAGCCGACCATCTGCCCGCAAAAAGGAAAATCGCCTTTGGCACAAAGCCCAGTTCTTCCACCCAGCGTTCTCTTTGTTTCGCTGCAGCATCTCGAAATTCATCGAGAGGCCGTCGAAATGCATCGGACCACAGCACTGGAGGCCAGACAGCGTCAACAGGTATTCTATACCGCTCCCAAAGCGACTGCGCGTAAACATGTGCCACGGAGGCATGCAGTGTTGTAAAGTACGCGGATGCCAAGTGGAGCCACCACAAGATCTTCAGTAGAATAAACTGATGGTAAACTGGATGTGAAGGTACATCCGAGTGGGTTGTGGCTATGCCAGGCATGCCCAGGCCTCTCATCAGCATCAGGGGCGCTATGCGCATGCAGCTATCATCGATGAAGCACAAAGCATGACCTGACGCGGATGGCGGATGCGTCACTGTCACTTAACTTATGTGAGCAAGCAGAAATACATCTTGATTTAGGCCGGAAAGCCTTGTCTCGTCCTAGTTTGCCCAACCGCAACACTTTTCAACTTCGATCCGGTAATGTTGAAACCTTCTGTTGTTGAGGTGACGCCATTCTATCACGCCCTAAGTGCAGAGACTCGGAAGAAGTTTCTTGGCTACCCTCTTGAAAGTCGACGCCTTCTTAAGTCCCGTACTGGCCCGTGGCATTTTCCTCTTCGTGTGAAGCGCGTTGATGCAGAATGCTGTTGCAGTTGCGGTTGCTTTGGCAGTTTCTAGAGGTGCTGAGGATCTCCGCACCCGGAGGGCGCACTTTTTGTCAAGAGGGACTGGCTGTTGCTCAGAAGCACTCAGAACGTTTCATGCTCGTATTGCTCGTCTCGCAAGACTTCTCCGACATGGGCTCCAAGTTTGATTGGATTGCAGCGTTCATAGGCAGAGCAGGCGTTTCTTCTGTTCGCGGTGCGAAACCTTTCCTCGCCTCAACTTCTTACTCAAGGGTTCGGAGATGTTTACATGAGGCATGAAGAGTCTGAGACAGCCAAAAAACCGCATAGCTCGGGTCAAGCATGGCCATCAGCTACTAGCAGCTACTAGCAAGTTGGCTCTCCGCCTCCATGCAACACTTCCCACACCAGCCGGCAGGTGTTGTGGATGGAGAAGAAATCCATTAAGACGGCCACGCCAAGTGCATTTGAAGCCTGTAAAGCCCAAACTGGGACGTGGACAAGCTGGCCAGTTTTCAACCACCGCCTCAGTGCCCATGATCGTTGACATCCAGCTACCGGTGACTAGTGATTAGTAGTGAGCTACATAAGATTTCCGTTGCTGGTGAGTGTTCACATGTTCTTACGCATTTTCTGCATAACATGCTTTTCCTCCGGGCAGCTCCACGTCTGCCTCGCCAGATTCCCATATGCTAACAGGAGAAAGCAAGGTGACTTTCCAGCTGAGACCATCGATCAACGCCCGGCAGAGTGCCAGGTAATCCTTGGCCACGCCACCAGCCTTGACTAACAGAGCGATGGCCTATTGCACACATCGAAATACAGAACCCTTGGCTTAGGTTGGACATGTGTTCTCGCGTGGCCTGCTTCAGCAGCGGCGGAAATGCTTGTGCGCAAATCAGGGCATGAGGCATCGCAGCGCAATCCCGGATGCTAGGGCTTCAATTCGAGCTGCGCGCTAACTGCCTGTGTGTGGGTGCTGCCAGGTCCATGTTCTGTGTTGACACATCTTGCGTATGGAGCTCAAGACATCATAGCTGCGTAAGCGACTACAGCTAATCCGGTGATTGCAAGTCACGGCGGTTCATACGAGATTCCACGGTCTATCCGCCAGCTACGTTGGTCTGTTTCGGTCATGCTGTGGCTAATTTCAAAATCATTGGCATCGACTTCGGATGGCTCCTTCAAGCACACACACCAAATGGCACTTCATGGCACTTCTCTCTGCACGGCACTGTCAAGCAGCCATTGAAAAGTCTTAGTGTTTCTTCCTGGTTTCTTCGCTCGACGAGAGGGGCCTAACTGATGACTCGTGAACCCAAGCTGTGTACTTTGTACACATTGGTTCCACCGCCTCAACTAAGCTCTGCGCGAGATGTGAGGCGAAATTAAAGATTGGTCGGTTTAAATGAGGCCAAGCCATTCCAACCGATCTCACAAGATCAACATGGAAAACTACATCTGCTGGAGTGGGACACACGAATCCAAGTCTAGACCCAACTAGGACCTCAGATGTCTTGGTACTTAACCCCAGGGTTTCGGATGTGTGGGGTATGACCAGGGAGGACTCCAGCCGTTTTGACAAGTTTGCACTCGGTCAAATCACTGGACGAATCGCAAAGACTCACATCGTCCACTGCGCGAAGAAGTCGTTGCCTCGACGTGCTGAGTTTGCGCTATCCTCCCATTGCAGCTCTGCGACAATGTGAAGACCCGCAGCCTTTGTCGTCCACCAGAATGAATGCCGGAAAGTTCTCTACCTGATTGACAAAACAACGGATGCCCCAAGTCCACACTAACACACACACATACACACATACACACATACATACATACATACATAAATACATACATACTGTGGGTCGGTGGGGTCGGTGGGGTGGGTGGGTGGGTGGGTGGGTGGGTGGGTGGGTGGGTGCGTGTGTGCGTGCGTGCGTGCGTGGGTGTGTGTGTGTGTGTGTGTGTGTGTGTGTGTGGAAATTCCTACCAAATCGAAACCCTTAATTAAGCCCAAACCGATAGGAGAACGCGGTTTCGTCGCTCACACAAGGCTACTCCACAGGCCTCAATCTTCCAAACTGCCTCCATACCCAGTTCGGGAAACTCCAGCACCTGGCAAATGCATGCAACTGGGAAGTTTCCAACTCCATGTCTGGAGTGGGCTAGCAGAAAGAGCCAATGCCTCTATCTTCTTTATGCAGTCTTCTGCAAGAACCTGATTTCAAACGTCGGTGATCTCACAGAAAAAAACACGGGTGGCTCCTTTAAGTGATATCTGTGCCAATCTGAGCAGTTCAGGGGATCCTGCCGCTGCAGCTCCGCCAACGCTACCCAAATAGAAGCCACCGTGCTTCTGGCAAGAATCCGTCACCTCGTTTGCTCTCTCTCTGTCTTTGTTTTTCTCTCTCTCTCTCGGAAAGCAGGCGTGGTCACAGAAGTGCCTGCTTGGAACGATTGCCCTTCGCCAGTGTGACCTCGGCAAGACAGAACGCATTGTATGAAAACCCCGCTATAGATGGCTTCATCCCTTCTAGCGCCATGGTTGTACTTCCTTGCCTATGGTTTTACAAGGTTTGGTGGAAAGCCTGCAATTTCATTCTGGGATATGATGTCTCGTTCACTTGCCCGAGAGGTTTTACTGACCCACAGCCCTTCCAAAATATCTCCTAGATCGCTCTTCACCATCCTCTCCCCTGCGAATCGAGTGAAGGGTTCCGGGCAAAGTGGCCATTGCTCCACACAGCCACTCTGGTGAACCTAACATGATGGTTTTGCTACCATTCAAGTTATTGTTTTAGTAGTTCTAGCACGATTTTGTGTACACACCTAGTAGAGTACAGTGTTGTACAGTGTGGTATGCATGGTTTAGTATAGTGCAGGAAATACAGTATATCATAGTATAGTATAGTCTAGTATTCGAGCATTCGTATAGTATGGTTCTGTCGGCTGCATGCGATTCAAAGAATGTCTTTTTGAGCTTCCTTCCCGTTGTACAAGTCAAACACACTGTACTCGACACTTCGGGCAACTCTTTTCATGAAACGAACACGTTGGGTTTTTACACAACCCCACGTGACAACGAGGGACTTGACGGTCGGTGGTCGGTCTGCATTCACGAGATGCATATATTGAAGAACCAACAAATTGAAATTATTGAAACCCATTGCAGCTCTTATGGGAACTCTGGCGCTCCGGCCAGCGAAGCTCCATGTGGCTGCCACATGGGGACATAGGTGTCCATACCTTGGGAGGCCCGGGGGGGGGGAGGGGGTGAACAAGAACAACATAAACGACGGCCGCAGTTGATGCTTGAGCTCAGCACGACCTGCCGTGGTGGGTCCGAAAGAGCCAGAGGCATATCCAGCTGGTGTCCTCGCCATCTAGCGATCCCTTGCTATCGTCAACATACTCAGCCAGGATTGTCTAAGCATTCTGCTTTGCTGGGCCAGCATAGTAGATCGGATGGTCCTGGGCCAACAAAAACGCAGGCCCCTGACACGACAGGCCTATGTGGTCCATAGCCTTGACATATTCTGGAAGAACTCCCGTCTGGTCGAATCGCTCGCTGATCTTAGCGTGGGCGATATCTCGCGCCACGATGAGGGGACCTTGCTTTGCGCGACATGCCCGATGTTGAGCAAGATGGTCCATCGGTCTCATGCAATGGTCTGCACCTGCATGTGGCCTTGCATACACTGCATCAGCATCTGAGCACATGTCCAGTCAACGACACCCTGGTCTTTATGGGGTACCTTGCCAACGAGCATATATCGCATGCACGTGTCGTTGTCATGAAGCCCATGGCATCAGGAACTAGACGCGACACGTGTTTTTGAGTTCGTGGCTTTGTGAGGACGGCAAGGATATCTTTCATTGGCTGCTTGAGATTGATGGAAACTACCTGCAGTCGTGGAACATGTCGGAACCACAAAATCACAGGTTGTCAGCTGACCCGTGAAAGCCAGCAGCGACGCTTTGGAACACTCAACAACTCCGGTACCTGCTCGGACAGACCGGTCACTGGCCCATCAGGAAGATACTGTGCCTCGACAAGCATTGCAATGGATTGCAGCCAAAGACCTGCATCTCATATGATATGGCAATCAATACTCAACTTGTGTGCCCCGAGATGCCGGATTGTGCTCGAGCTCCTCCACAAACACCCCATCCGTCGTTATCTTGGCAAGAATCCTGGCTACAACGAGTATTCCATTTGCTCCTACACGAAACTTCTTCATCCAACCTGTGTGGTTCTTACGTAGCTCAGACGTGTGATAAACAACGTTAGTTTCGGCGAGGGTTCGGAGATATGCCAGGATGATGATTTTGTCTGTGGTGCCATTGCAGATTCCTTAAACGTGAAGATTGTCTGCAAGATTCTGCTAGCAGGCGTGTTCACTGAGAAACTGTGCACCGTCGCCTGGGTACAGCCTACATGAAACATCTCCTGTGAAGAGGCCGTGTCCAACTCACTAAGAAGGATGAGCAAACGTGCCGGGTAAACTGTCGGTCCGCACTGCACGACACGCCCAAGCCCACCGGGCAGGATGCACCATGCCTGATTGGCAAGCCGATTCTTGGCACTACATCAGATTTTGCGCAGGCGGTGCTCACGAATGTTGCTATTGAATACATCCATGATAAGTCGGCCCCTGAACCCCTAGGCACCTATGATCCGGGCTCCTGGTCCCTACCCCAGCCCTTCGCCATCTACGTAACTGTCTTGATTCTGGAGCCTCGTAAACCCTCAAATCCTAAAGCCTAAACCTCATACATCCTTATACCTCAATTAAACCCCAAGCCCTCATGAAACGCTAAGCTTAAACACTACAGGCCGGGGGGGGGGCACACCATAGGGGAGGCGTATCCGGGGCTGGGAAGGGAAGAAGGGGCCCGATCAGACTGTACTGTATGCCATATGGCCCATAAGTCCATGGGTATCACCACTACATCTGCGCGCCTTGGAAGTCGGACAACCCGAGCCTGGCGGAGCCACAAAGCTTCACTGTGCTTCATTCAGGGATGCAGAAGAATAAAAGTAAGAATAGGCTATAAGCAATAATATCTATACTGCTGCTAATAAGCATCATAATAATAGTAATCATAATTAACAAGCGGCTCTGTGGTTGCCAAGGGGCATCGTGAGCAAAGTACTTGCCGCCGAACTGAGCGCCCACCCCAAGGTCTTGGCAGATCTTCAACACTTTCGCCTGAGCAAGGCTGTTGTGACACCCAAATGGCTGTCCAAAGTCATGCGCCAATGCGCCTCCCATTCGAGGTCGCGGAAAGCGCGGCCACCGTCACTGCCCGAAGTTGGCAAATCATCATAGTACCTCTTGCTAGGCAAATTTAGATTTTGACGGCGTGTACGCGGTAATTTCGGCCCAAGGGTTCTTGGCCGAAACTCAACGGCCAACCATGTATTCGAGCTACAGCTCTAACCGTCTAACAGCACTCTCATCCAGGCAGGGTCTATACACAAGCGAAATTCACAGCAAGTGTCCCATACCAAGGCAGGTGCTAAGCACAATGTCTCTCCCCCATGCTTACATGCTGCCTGGCGCTGGCAAGCTTGACAGTCTTCAAGCAAGTCTCTGCCTCAGAATGGCAAGAATGGCAAGAGACAGGCCAGTCTTCCATTAGATTCCACGAGTTCCGAAAGCCTTGAACCAGATCGAGACGAGCGGCAGAGGTACCTCCGATGACCAGTGCCACATGGTACGGAGGGCAAGCGCTGGTACCCAGTGTCTGCCTGAGCCACTGTGTCTGACGACGCAGTGCTGCAACATGCTCTTGTGCACAATCTTCTGAATTCAAAACTGACCGTCGGACAGCTTCTCCGTGATGAATGCCTCCAACTTCTTCGGGTTGAGCAATGCCTGTACAAGTGCAGCCCATCGCTGAAGCTGAATGCCCACGATTGTTGTGCAGCCTTTGTCTGCTGGTACAGGTAGGTCTTGTTGGCAGATCCGCCGCCCTTGGCCATGAAGAGAAACCTTGATGCAAATGCAAGGGCATCTTGAACACTAAACGCCAGCTGGCAGACAATGCCCTGCTTGCAGAGATGAGGGAGAAAATTTAGAACGTGAACATTAAGAGCGCCACTCATAGGACGAGCTGGGCGTCGCGAGAATGTCAATCTGAGCAGGCAAGTTGCACCTCACTCGCAGTCTGCACTTCGCCAGGGTGTGCTTGTTGCGACTCCAATTCAGCCATGACATTCCATGACAGACTCGCTTTCTCTTGTTTGCATGAGCGTGGCTTGGTGTTCTTCTCAGCGAACATCGTCACTGGAGCCATCTGCGAATACCGCAAGTTCCTGAGAAAGAACTGTTTTCCAGAGTCATGGCCTTATGGACTGCAGATTACGCATCTCCCATCTGCATCAGACCACATGGCACAAGGCGCCCCCACCTTTGTGTGTAGGCATCGTAGACTCCATGTGACAGCTGCGCTTCATCGTCTCCGCTCGTGAAGACGTGCATGCCTCGCCTGTGCAGACTTGAGCTTCGGCAGTCGAGGTGAACCAAGATGAACCCAACTTGCACATATTGCATCAAATCATCCACGAAACGATTTTTGATGACCTATGAGCCGACCATCACTCTCCTACCAATCTCGTAAGGAGCGTGCTTGCCCATGACGATGGCTGTGCCGGTGTCCTCACCAGGATGGTTGCCGAACGAACGGTAAGCTACAAGAACATCTTGTAAGAACTAACATGTGACCCTCTTTACTTTCCCCTGGCCGAGGGAATTCAAAACCGATTTAGACAAAGGGCTCGACAAGCAATCCAAGAAGAACCAAACTGACAACTAGCAAGCTACTCATAAAAGGATGAGGGCGCTGAATTTTCGTTGGGGCACCTCCTGAGTTCCCCCTTTTGCAATTTTTCTTGCCTTCCTTCCAGGGTCCCCTGCTGCGTGCTAAGACTAATTTTGGCTTGCCAAGACTTACTAAGACTTCCTGCCTGAGCTCCTGCCTGAAACTGCCTCAACCATGAGCCCTTGGCATCATTTAGGGGTTTTGGGGGGTGGGGGGAAAGAAGCCAGGTTGTGACTGGTGTGCAGCAGCCCAAGACACCGTCTTTACCAGTCTGGTGGATGCTGACGGGGTGAGCGGGATCATGCCCAGCCCAGCCACGTAGCCCGCAGTTGGTTTTTTGAATATGCCGAAAGGTTAAATCTGCGAGCCAGAGGTGCCTCTAACCAAATGGACGGTTTTCTTCGTTCTCCTGAAGAGCAACCTTCTTCTTTAGAAGAGCTGTCGTTTTCTTGACAAGGCTAACGCATCTGTGGGGCTTGCAATGCAGGGTATGTGAAGAAGTTTTTCATTGGGATTAATTAAGGAGCAGGAGGGTCTTTGCTCCTTGCAAAGAACAAGGGGTGCTACGTAAACCAACGAGTCACCTTACACAATAAAGACCTGACACAGAATATTTGTACATACACATGTGTATATATATATACATACTGTATACGCAGTGCTGGATCCTGTTGGAGCCGGCAAACTCGTCCTTATAGAACATTATAGGGGCCCCCCTGCCCTCCCAAGTAAACAGGGTCCCACATTCCCAAGACCTGAATAGACTGTCAAGCCGGCCTGGCACCCCGGCAGCTGCCCTCCGGAAGCTTTTACGGCATTCCTGAATTGCTGACATCAGGCGCTGATGTAACTTACGAATCAGCATGCCACCGATAGCCAAACGTGTGCAAGTTAGGCGCCACCAGCAAAACAGACACAGGAAGCCAACTTCATTCTTATTTGATCAAGATTCAGGGCATGTGGCAAAAAGCTAAAGTCTTTTGGGGGCTATCACGGCTCAAAACACGCCGTGATTTGCCAGTCCAAGTCTGAGCTGCTGAAGCAAATTGTGGGCCGTGAAGCGATCGTTTTCGGATGCCTGGCAACTGCCAACTTGACTGCAACGAACTGCAGTGTTGTGTACAGGATGAATTTAAACTGAGTGCCAGAAGAGCCTCCGGATCCGTCAAAATCTTGCCGAGCTGTGCCAAGTGTCCCGGTCGGAGAAAATGACCTCTGGTTTCAGCATGTTTCAACATATTTGTGCATCAGTTTTGCGTTTCCAGTGAACCTAAGACATGCCAATGGCAGACATTCTAAATGCCGAAGCTTGAAGATGACTCGAGGAATTCCCTTGATTAACGCAAATGTGGGCTTACTGGGGCACTAACTGATCTCTGAGATGCAATGCTTGGACAACTCTCGCAGGACCCACGGCCTGAGTACGGCACACCGCATGCATGCCTTCCGGCACTCTCAAACCAACGTGCTATCCGCCACACCAACGTCACCAACAACGCTGATAACGGCAAAAAGCCAACTGTGCTTCGACGAGTTCGAGGGACAAATCTGGTAAACTACACAGCCAGTTCGATCGTTTCTTGAACGCTCCGAGCCGGGGTAGTAGGCGGCAGGCGGCAGGGTCCAAAGAAGTAGTGGAAGGCTGGTTGTCATTCTATCTCAAAACTTGGCGCTATGTACGAGTGATTACACTGAGCCCGCTGTACCTGTGCCTTCTTCACGGTTTGTGCCACCTCTCCTAGCCGGGCTGTTGAGCAAAACCTGTTCGGGCTCACTACAAAAAAAACCTCAAGGTAAGAACTCCAGAGTGAACGCAGTCGTTGGGGAAAAGACACAAGTAACCAGGGATGGCTAGGGCGCATTGGCCCATTTTCAATAAGGGCGCGAAGCTGCAGGCTGAGGAGCAGGCTGCACACTGACAATTTTCTTACTGGCTCCCGACACCTGACAATGGTGGATATGGTTATGATTATTACGAATACCATTATTATTATTACCATTATTATTCTGATTATTACTGTTCTTATTATTGTTGATTAGATATTTGGGAGTGTATGCCCACACTTTGCAGCAGCTTCATCTGCAAGTGCAGCTCTGGGATACAGCATTGCCCAAGACCTATTTGCCATGAGCGCACTGTGCACACTGCGCATCTCGGGGGAAACTGCAATTGAAGCCTTCTCATGCTCATAGCACGTTCTAAAACTGAAACATCGAGCATGCATGAGCTTTGCACATTTTCAGTTGAAGTTGCGAAGTGGAGAGCTGATGTCCCATGGAAGTTGCCTTGAAACCTTGAAGCCCTAGCCGGTTGGGCTGCCTAAACTAGCTCTTACGCAGAGAAGCACAAGTTGAAGGCCTTGATCTCTTCGACGGCGATGCCAGCGCTCAGGCTGTCCATTTTCTGAGCAATTCGGGACACCCTAGCTGCTCTAGCTGCTATGGCTTGAAGTTGGGCTGAAGCTTCCAAATCTCCCAGCGAATTCTCACACACGCACGATCCCGTCCAATCTTTCCCAAGATGTGAAGAAGCGGCGGCACACCAACCTTGTACGGAACATCGACAGGGTTGGCATGCTGGAACATTGCTTGGTACCTTTCAAACCGAAACGACGAATCTCCAGCATGCTCCACGTGAAAGCGGCCCATTCATGTGCTTGCAAACGGGCACTCGAATTGTACATCCGGGACCAAATCCTCCACCTACTAGCCAGGAATGCAAATCATATCTTTTACGATGTTACGAGTAGAATGCACAGGAAAGGCCTCTTTGCCACCTTTGTCGCAACCGCATTGTCCGCAAGCATCCTCTTTCGCCTTATCCGCTTTTGCTTGACTTGACAATGAGCAGGGCTGCATTTTCTTGTTCCCACCCGCGCTGGCTGCAAGACTTTGACTGAGCAAAGCAATCTTTGGGTAGGCACACAGTCGCTTATTTCGGGCCCTTCTTTGGGGAACTTTTATAACCCTTTACAAACCACCGAAGGGCCCAACTTCAGAGCCCTTAAAGTGGACCGACAAGCAGCGGGATACGCCATGTCGTGACAGAGACGCCGCTATGGTCTTGAGCAAGGTCGCTGCAACATGCTGCAACCACATGCGTGTGGCGTGTTGTAGCACTTGTAGCCGCTGGTTATGGTTGGCTTCTTCACAGCAAGCGCCACTTTTGGTCTGTCCTGTTTCGCCTGTGCTGCGAAACATGCTGGTCGATGTTGGTGGTTCCCGCCACGAGACTCATCTTAGCAGCTTGGAGAAGGCGACATGAACACTTTTGTAGAAGCTTGTGCGAGTGGTGCCATCACAGTCACTGTTGCAAAGTCTCCTGCTCACAGTCGTCCATGTGCTTGTGTTGCCATCGGTTCATGCTGCCAAGTTGAGTGCACAAACTGCTCTTGGAACAGCCTAGAAAGGGTCTGTACAAAAGCCTGGCACGTCTGGTGACTAAAGCTGTTCCACGATTCCCTCCCACTGAAGCCAGTACATTGTACATTGTACATTATGTTCTGCATTGTTCTGCTGTGGCCATCTGCACCTCTTGAGCTTCACCTGACGTCTTGCAAAATTGCACAATCTATCGAATCAATGTGACTCATCGGCGCTCACATACCCTCCTAAAGCTCGTGGTTCAGGACAGGTGCGTAGCCTGAAACGCAAACAACTTGACGAAAGTACGCCCATAGCAGCAACATGCAGCAACTGAAAGCCCCATCTGTGCCCTTGACCGATGAGGGAATCGATGCACTGCCGCATGCTGGAGACCTTCCAGCCAATTTCAGCCAGCACTCTCTTCTACATGTCTCAAGTGCAAATATCTTCCCATGGTGTGTCGTGTGTGTGTGTGTGTGTGCATGAGATTTGCGGACTGATCGTACAATACGGCAAAAAGAATCGCAGGACCAACACAAAGCCCCCACTGATCAGGGCCATGGCCGTTGTTGCTTTTGAGCACTGCCGAAGCCCATCTCGATGCACCGTGCCAAAAGCAATCTCGCAAACCTGCACATTGACGCTTTATTTCAAAAACGACCATTGACCAAATCGAGTGTTCAACACAGCGCCTGTGATTCAAGCCCAGTACATCCCGGTAGGATCGTGATTGTTGCCATGACAGTACCATTGGCTACCGATGTTAAGAGTGCAGTCTGCAAGTGCCTGAGTCATTTTAGGGTTGGGTCGTGCAATGTTGGGCATGTTGCACCCGTCGGCGAACCCGTATGAAGCTAGGTTCTTTCGTGATCTGGCACAAAAGGCACTCGAGTTCACCCGAACTTTTGTACAGAGTGTGCTGCCAAACACACCACGCATCGCGCAGCCGAAACCAATTCAACAATTTACAGCCATGAAGAAGACTTGTCTGCTGGCACTTGGGGCTGCAGTCACGGCCACTTCGTCACTAGTCTTGCAGTCATGAACTGCATGCCGCCCCAAAGCCATGCCAATCCCAGATCTACCGGCAAATGTGGTAGTTACTAAGAAAGAACCAGCAACCTGGAACGAGCAACACAATGCAACCACGGCATGCGAGCAACCCATAGTGACCCGCGTGCCTTTGCACCAGCTGCAGATGTTGTCGAGGCAGACCTAAGATCGATTCGATCGTGCTGACCACATGCTGCGAAGCCTAGTAGACAAATAATACAAATTTAGGCAAACTCCGGGCTGAACTTGAGGTGAATGATTCTATGGCTTTGTGTTCTTGGATATGCTACAGCCGCGTGAAGCCAATTACATGTATTGTGAGATTTTGTGAGGCCTTTAGAACTTGAACACTTTATGCGAGTCCAGGCTAAAACTCGCTTACCATCGTCCTGCACTTGTTTCGCTACTTCCTTGGGGCACTTCAGGTCTGATTCTTTGCCAGTCAAGTGAGTGTGTTCCTCGTTCGAGAACAACGTTGGAAGGATTGGAGGATGCTTGTGATTTCCAGGTGTGCCACATGAGCTTGATACTCAAAAGGCTACATGATGCCATTTCACGACGAAACAAGGTGTCGATACAATGTGCAACGATGCAGGCAGCAGTGGATATCTTTCGTCATGGAGCACCACACGGACGGCACTTAGGCCGTATGCCTTTCCGAACGACATCCGCTCTTACGAATGTATCTTGTCACCAGGCTGGGGATTTATACTGCAAAGGCCCCGACAGCGAAGCGGTGTTGGCAAGGTCCTGACCGATGACTGACACGTACCTGGCTGCTCTATCATGTCTGAACACAGTATGACAAAAATGCAAAACGTCAGAGAGTTTGCGCAGCAACTGCACAAAAAAAAACAACCATGTTGTTTTAACGACCAAGCGCCTGATGTGCAAAAGCACGCACCAGCCTGTTGAACCTGAACTGTGCAATGTCCATATTCTTGTCTGAGAGCGGCACTCAGCAGGCGCTCTTTGGCTGTTTTCCCTGGCTACGGGGTTGCTTTGGTCGTAGGGCTCCACTTTCCGCTGTGCGGCCGGTGGCTCGGGGATGCTTAGTTTTGCTTGACGAATTCTTAGGGGATGCCAAGGGGTTTGGGGCATTTGTCTGCTTAAGGCTTTAGGTGGGGGTGGGAAGGATACCATGTGGGGGTCTGCAGAACACTCGCCCTGAATCGTGCCGTGCACACGAATAGAGATGCGCAGCTCTTCCCACAACCATCAGGGCAACCTGTCAGCACGAGCTCAGTTCTCAGGATTGTATTTCCAATCAACACGATCCTGAGAAGCAAGCAAGGAGCAGCCCCAATCCTCGGACTTGAACTGATCCTATTCATGTTAACGAATAGTTAAAATAGTACTCGTACTACTAATAGTACTAAATATCATTTATCTTAGTAATCCGATTCATATTAGTTATAGGCACTTGCAATGGGCACTCAAGGAGCACCGGGGAGCCGACTGAAAACGAGCCATGCCCTGCTGTAGAGGCTGCTTCGCTTCAAGCCTCGGAGTGCCAAATTGCCACTGGGATTGGGTGATGTCTCGAAAAGGTTGGGCATCCCTGGAAACCCTAAGGGTCTCTGCATGCCCAAACCCAGACTATCCCCTGTGCGTCCCTGGAGCGCCCAGAGGATCCCTGGAGTACCCAACCCGCAAAGTATTCCCAGATAAGGTGGAGGCACCAGATAACGATTTCCAGACAAATGTTTGAAGTGGCCACTTTCAGAGTATCCCAGAATCGCTGGAGTGCCCAGCCGCGCGCCCTGCCCCTGGAGTATTCCCACAACATCCCGGGAGTGCCCAGTCACTGGAGTTCCCCACCCCGGAACTAACAAAACATTCCTGGAGTGCTTAAGTCCCCACAGAATCCCTGGAGTGCCCAGTCCCAGATTATCCTCGGAGTGTCCCTGGAGTGCCCAACCTGTTCGAAGCAACATAAGTTCTTTTAGCATTTCGTTCTCTCTGCCGTTCTGATAACCTCTATGTCCCGATGCTTTGTTGGACAAACCTCCCCTCCCTTTACATGTTGAAAAGAAAACCTCCATGCCTTCTGTATTCTTGTTGGAAACCTATATTCGCTCTATGTTTTAACAAGAAAACCTCTATTTCCCCTGCAGCTGAATGGGAAAAACCTCTGTTTCTTGGTATCTTACAACGAACCCTAAACTGAAAAAGCACAAGGGGCGAAAACACAAATCAAAGAAATTAGGGGGCCCCTGCGCGGTGCTTCGCTGGTACTAACCTATAAAGATGCGGCGAAAAGTAGGGACCTGGTGGCGTGGTGAAATCCGAAAAGGTGGCCCCCAAGAGGTTAAGTTCAGGCGGCTTCATCAAAACCTGGTTGATATTCAGGGCTCGGGGAAACTCTTCAAACCAAACAATGAGGCCCCGGGACCCCTAAACCTAAACCCTAAACCCCTAAACCCCTAAACCCCTAAAACCCTAAAACCCTAAAGCCCTAAAACCCTAAAACCCTAAAACCCTAAAACCCTAAAACCCTAAAACCCTAAAACCCTAAAACCCTAAAACCCTAAAACCCTAAAACCCTAAACCCTGAACGCGTCTGGGCCGCTCGTCAGCTCTCCACGAAGGCCCTGCGCCACAGCCCGGCCTCCACATCGGATTCTCCAGCTTTGCATGGCTTCGCCGATGTTTGAGGGGTTTGCGAATTAGGGTGTACCCTTATTGGGGTCCTTGTTATAAGGGGATCCTCCGAATTAGGGGTACCCTTATTGGGGTCCTTGCTAGAAGGGGATCCTACTACTTGGGGGTCTATAAAAAGGGTCCTTTTGTTTCGGAAACGCCCCAAGTTGCAACAGCTGTCAAGTTCTGCGGAGCACAGCTAGCCTCGCAGTGTCTTGAGGGAGAGGTCCATCAATTTGGATCCTTAAATCGAAAGGCGGTGTATGGCAAAACTTGAAACTTTAATCAACTGTTTCTGTGAACAAACTGAGGTGTCTACGTACTTTGAAATCTCTGGAGAAGCTGGCGGCCGTCGTTCGGTCCTGTCAGAACACTTCTCTTCCCTCGGCGGCTGCAATGCATCGTGTGATGCATGGCAACAAGTCCTCGAAACAAATGGAATGTGCCTGGCAAGGTTCGGCCCAGTTCGGTGCGCGGAGCAATTTTTTTAGATTCTAGATGAGGTCGGGAATGCTGTGCAGATGTGTGCTGTGTATCGCTCCGTCGGCACTTCGCTCATCTGAAGCAGGCTGGAGTCACGGCCACGGTCGGACCCTGCAAGACAAATGTAGTCATGGATGCATCGGGTTCCTGCGTCGCGGCTGGGCACGGGAATAAACTCAAACTTGACCCATCCTAAAGCCTAGCACGATGTCAATGAACCAGTCAATAGGAAGCTATGGCCAGCTCCTCATCGTTGTCTTGCCTCAGGAAAACGTGTGGTTACGGATCTTGTCTGCCAGCAGAGCTAGCAAATGCCACAGACATGGACCAACTATGCCTGCAGAGCACCATCTCTGGGGCAATCTGGAATGAGAGGGTTGGCTTGTTCACATCCTGGCAATTCTCAATTAAAAGACTCGGCGGAAAAAACGGAGCTGTGCTGTTTGGAAGAACCCTGCTGATCCAGGGTGTCTTTGAGAAGATGCTCGAAGCAAATCGCCGAACAAGTCGTCCGTTTTTTTGCTGCCGGCTGTTTCGCGGAAATCCCTGGAGTCAGGGGCACCATGTGGGCATGCGGGCACCACGCTTATGCTCTAAACGACCTCAGCCTCTGCGAGAATGGTCGTTATGTCCATTGGCACGGTCAGAGTTGACAAGGAAATGCTTTTGGTGGACCATCTTCTCGGGACACTTGAGCTCATGGAAAACATCGAGTCCGAGACTGGGTATGCCGCGCGCAGCATGGTCTCACGACTGGCAAAGCAACCGTGACCGAATCCCTGTGAACCACCACCACGACATACCAAGAACCAAGAAACTACAGAAGACTTGAAGACCAGTTGCTCTTTGGCAACTCACACTCTTTTCCTAGAGAAACTCAGCCGTTCGAGCGCGTCGAGCACCATCTGCCGGCTCCACTTTGGCCTTGCAAGGAGTGCGTGGATATGAGACCATGATCAGAAACGAGACTCCAGATTGAAATGCCAAGAACCGAGGCGCTAGCCGAACTGTAAACTGCTGCAACAGGAAAGCAGTCGGAAGAGAAGATCCGCATCTTGCCGGGAACAGCCTGGATTGCGCGCGCGATCATCGCAAACGCTAGCCACGAAGCGCTCGACAACATGCGCCCAATTTCGGCCCGTGGCTGTGTCTTTGGCAAAATGCTTCACAAGCTCACGCAGCCTGCAGAATTTACTTCCATCAGCAAGTGATCTAATGCTGGGGGCCTGAAGACACTCATGTCCGTTCCCTATGTTTATGTATGTGTATTGAAACCATGGTTGACAAGGACCAACGAGACACGAACCCAAGCCCACATGTAAGGCGCGAGCGCATTCTGGGAAGCATCCCTAGCAGACTTCGCGAAGTACTTATACGCCTTGGCCTCGCATGAGGTCTCTCGAACCAACCATCATCATCCAACCATCAGGTCATGTTCTTCAACTCAGTGGACGGCCTGCCCTGCTGCCGCTTCGGCATTTCCTGACAGCACGCCGCACATGCATCTTCCCTGCATGCAAAACGCACCCAAAACTTGCTCGGAGCACGAGAGGCTATCATAGCCACGGACGCGGCGTCAGCTACCTGCAGCATTACTGATATTTCCATCATCCAAGCAATCACAAGACGCTGGATGAGGACGAACATGGACGACGGAAACCGCAGCTTGGTTGCTTGGCTCGTAAATTGTGAAGCCTTGTATGTACTGCACACGCTTCTTCCATTGCTGGTCAGTCCAGGCCATGCACTGTTCCGCGATCCAGCACGAATCGATGCACAAGTCGCCTCCTGGGCCCAAGCTCTGCACAACTTGTTTGGCCTTGGTCTGAGCAGCTCGCACCATGGAGCCATTAGATATTGAATTTGATGATCCCCAGCAACTTGGTGGTGGACCTTCCGCGCTTTGTCCCTTTCCCTCTTCTGACACGACTCCTCTCAGATTGCCCCGCTCAGTTGCAAGTTGCAATTGGCTGAGCTGTAGCAAAACAGGCCGGCAAGGCACTGTGAGACGCAGCAAAATGTCAAGGCAGATGCTGTGGCACAGAGACATTTTCTGAGGCACCTTTTTGATTTGAGCTGAATGGCGTTCCATGGTGTTCCCCTCTTCTGTCTCAGGCAGACTTTTGTTGGTCTTGCGGCCGTCACGCGGATTCGTCTAAGGATTGACACGAACTATCTTGCCTTCCTTGATTTGTCTATTGTTGCTGCCTTCACACCCAGGCGTCGTCCAGCTCACTGACTCTCCCGCTCTCCCCGCGGTTCCTATTTGTGACTTGATACATCTGTGTTCCAATTTGTGTCGCAGATGAATCATCAACGAACCAAAGCCTTTCGGGGCAATGCAACCGACAAGTATGAAAGCTGGCTTTCATGTTGCTGCAACTTGAATTCGCTGAGCTGAGCCGCCCACACGAGGAACGATGAAAGGCAAGCAGATTGCCTTCGATCTGCGCTGAAGGTCGGCAAGTCGAAGCGATCTTCGCGATCTACTTCACCTTGGCTTTCGCAAATTGGCCCGAGGCGCCTGACGAAAACATGACAAGACGCGTGAAACAAGGTGTGGAAATCCTAAACTAAATCCTCAACCCTCAACCCTCAACCCTAAGACCAAGCGACAGCATTCCCAGCAGCGCATCCCATCAAGTGCCCATGACCACACAGTGGAGATATACAGGTGCCCTTAGCAGCTAAGCTAAGCCTTAGCAGGATGGGCTACTAGGCCTTGTAATCAACCCTATAAAGCACTTTTTAAGGGGTTATAGGGTATAATAGCCCATCCTGGTATAGTGTGCCCTAGCAGGGACATGTCTAGGATGTCTTTGTGCTCCTTTGCATGAAAGCATGCAAGGTACGTGCAAAGCTTGGCTCAGAGCCTTCATAGGCTGCGCTGTCACTTCTCCACAGTGAGCAAGCTACTTGAATTCAAAGGGCCAGCACATCTTTGAAGGTGCTTCATTGGGCCTCGTCCTCAGAAAAGAAGTTCAGTTCGTAGCTGCCCACCTGCTCAATTCACAAGACCTCCGGCTAATCTGGCATTTATGGATAAATCTAAAAATGAGGTGGTCCAATTCAATGTCCACCTAGTTTGCCCTGAGCTGTGGGCCCGATTGCTTTCGTCCAGCGGATCGAGAATCATCATCTTGGCTTGCAAAGATGCACATGAGCAAGCTGGCAAACTCACTGACGAACAATCTGGGGTTGGCCTACTTGCTTTCAACAGCTTAAGGCGAGCACGGCACCTCGGCCGAGTAGCACCTGTGCCGCAAAACGAACGGAAAGCAAGCTCCATGAAACTTCCCTAAACCCAAAAACCCTGAACCCTGAACCCTAAACCCTAAACCGTGCAAAACCACCAGGCCTCACTGGAAGCCTCTCCGCTGGGATCGGGCCCATACAGCTCCGCACCTCCACTGGCATGGAACTGGGTCAAATTTGGTGAAAACACCTCACTTTCCTAAATGCCTCACAGAAGCACTTTGGGTGCCCAAAGAAATCCCAAATATCAGAACATGTTGCTGATTTCTTGGCCTCCGAAGACGAGTGGACATCTGTCACCAAAATGGGCGCGGATGTCCTCTTCCAGCCTCCGTCGCCACGTTGTTCGCAAATCTCGATAGCCTTGAGTGTTTCTTGTGGCCTGTTCGCATCGCCACTCTCTGTGTCACCAGAATCCTGACACATTCTAAACATCTGCCACGGCTCAAAACGACACATGCCAATGCATCTGTCCTTCACTTTGGCCGCAGCTTCGTTGGCCTAGACATTCTCAAGCTTCGGCTCAGAGGGTTCCATCCAAAAGCTGAGGCTTGGGCGACCTCCGCATTTTTTGCTATGGTCGAGAACTCGGACGCTTCTTCCAAAGTCCTGTAGTTCAAAATATATCGAAGTCTGAGCAGCTTGGGTGCACTGCCCCGAGGCCACATGTCACGCTGGGGCTCCTACTGAAAAGTTAGGCGATACCTCCAAGAAAGTTTCAAGGATGACTCTCAGAAAGTACCCCCCCAATGACCTAACCGAAACTTGGGCCACGGCGTCCTATGCATTGACCTCGGCACTCAACAATCCAGTGAGTTCATGCACCACACACCCACACAAAGTCGAAATGACTGGTTGCGCAGTGTACAAGGCCATTGCTCCGAAGTCGTGACGATGAACGTCTTAACTTCATCAGACTCGCCAACCTCCATATGCACCACACACCGAATTCCATGACTTGGGAAATGCCAGCTGCGGCGTTAAGCGTTGGACAGCGGCTGCGCGAATCAAGTTCCCGAGCGGCTTGGCCTGAACAAGAGCCATAGCAAGAACAAGACCACTAACAATAACAACGACGACAACAAAAACAAGAAGAATAACACCCCGAACAAACAACAAGAATAACAACAGTAACCAACTGCTGCTGCGGCTACCGCTCCTCCTACTACTGCTACTACCACCACTACTACCACTATAACTACCACCACTGCGAGCACCACCACCACTACCACCACCACTACTAATACTATGACTGCTACTACGACGAAGATGCCGACGATACAACTATTACTACCACCATTCCTATGACTTCTACTACTACGACGACGATACCTACCATTACTACGACTACGATGACGACTGCTAGCACTATGCCACTACCTCACTACCACTACCCTCACTGCTACTGCTACATCAGCTTTTAGCGCGAAGGACACGGCCAAAGTTGGAGCGCCTTGACGCTGCCAGCACCTGTAGGCTTAAACACCAGGAGGAATGACCTCGCACAGAAATGCGACTTTGCCGAAGAGCAAGTGCTGCGGTATGCCCAAGTTCGGAACTCCAAGTCCACATTGACTGATCCGGTGCTCCATGTCACCCAATCGACCTTTCAAAACAAGCTCTCGCATTTGCCCACGTTGTGCTGACAACGCTCGCCTCCTGCCATTCCTCTTCAGCCTCAGGCCCTCGAACCTGCTTCAGCAGCTGCAAATCAAATATGACATGGCCATGACTCATTATTCAATATGTCGTGTTTGGCCTTCGCTGGCAAGCTGATGGACACGTCGTTGAACATGGCGGAATCGTTTAAGTATGCTGTCAGAAAGCATGCTAGAAGCAAGTTCGGCTAAACATACAAGTTCGGTGTTTGCACCACTGCATGAGTCCCGAAGCTTGAACAAATGCTTGCATGGGGTAAAACATGCCAATCACGATGAAACAACGGCACTCGGCAAATGTGGCATGCGTGCGATTTTGGGGGCCGCCCTGCCCCCCCCCCCTCCGCCCTCTCAAAAACAACAATCAACAACAACAACTAACAACCTTTCTTTGTCGAACTCATTGCTAGAATGCTTACATCACCAAGCATCTTCCCAGAAACAGGACTGGCACAAAGCGCTACTTCGATGGGCTCTACGTACAGTGCCTCTGAACTTTGGGCGCTGCAGTGGTTGCAAGCGGCGCAAAAGCACGTTGGACTGCAACCGGCGGATTGCCTCCTAGCGCTGATGAGGTTGCACAAAACTGCGAGAATGCAATAAACAGAGCAGTGCAAGGCTTGCTGACCTCCGCACATGAAACATGCCATTCGACAAACAGACCAAGTTGTAAAAAACAAGGTGTTGCGCTTCAGTCACTGAATTTCACAAACAAAAAGCTCTTGCTGATGTGGTCCACGGCTGTGCAAGAGCACCAATGAGCAACGCAAGAGCATGCGACGGCCTCCCGCAAAGGGCCATGCGCCGATGCTAAGGGCTACAGAGGCATGTGTGGGCAATCGCTTGTGTGACAGACGAGACGGAAACGCAGCTGAGGCAAGCAGAATCAGACCACTTCGTTCGTGCCATGAAAGGCGGCGCAAGGAGGACATGATATCCGTCCAATCTCCCAAAACAACTATGAGGACGAGAGACAGGGGGAACACAACCAGGACTAGGACTGATCGGTATCCAGCCATCTGAACCTTCGCATGACCAGGCTAACCCCATGGACGACGCGTGCCCGGAGTCCACTTCGTAATTGTCGTCACTAGGGAAGGAAAAACACTGGGCCGCATCGTCATCGCCTCAATGCCCACTTACCCTCTGGCAATGGGATTGTGTGCGGGCCAGTGTAGAGAGGGGGCGGGTTGGTTGTGCGTGGAATGTGATCGGGGAACGGTCTGGGATCAAGTTGAGTCTGATGCCGGGGAACCAAACCAAACATGGTGGCGGGGGGAGGAACATGAGATGCACGCACAACCTGTTTGATGCACGTCGTTGTTGCCCGCCACGGTGCCGTGGTCTGGCGCCCGGAGAGTTTCCCTGTTGGGTTTTGCTCCTCAGCTGTGCTGTGCTTGCATGCCAGTGAGTCGCTACAGGGGATGGGATTTATGGTGCCGCACCTAGATGCGACGCTTGAAGCTTGCAGCAGAGGCAAGTTTGCAAGAGCAGCAATAACCGCAAGCAAGTGTCGCGATTGCTTCTGAGGCGTGTTAATGTCACTGCTCAACGCCGGGAAGCATGGCCTCAAGGTTCCGCCGATGGTTGTCCGAGCACCCGCCAGACTTTCCCGAAACTCCTGAGAGCCCTTGAGAGTGCGTAGTGCTTCTTTTCTCTAACAGGAGAAGCGCCGCCCGAATGGAGGCAACTCCCCCCCCCTCCCTACTTGGCTCCGAATCGAGTCCACTCTGGACGACTACTGCTCGCGTGCACTGTGCGCAGCATTCTCGCCCCGCGTACGCACTCTAGCTCTTTCTCTGCCTGTGTCGGTGTTTTTGTCCGTGAGCGTGTGCGCATGCGCAGGGAAGCAAAATGGAAGGAGTGCAGCAACATCAACATTCCAAATCCAGGTTTCAGTGGTTTATGTGTCTCTTGCATTGGTCTTTCACTTAGAGAGAGAGTCTGATGTAGTACTCGTGTGCTGCCATGGCTCTGCAGAATCGCGGCTGGTACACTGTGGGAGTTCGCACGCCCCCTCAATTTGCAAACATGAGCTGTGCGTTTAATGCTGGAAGCATAGGCAGTTCCAGGGCGCATGTTTATGTTGGAAGCACTGCATGTCATGGCCAGTCCCGACGCCAATCCGTTCTCGCTAACGGAGGCTTAGTAACGAATGGCCAGTCGGCAGTACGAGCTT